CCCCACTCTTGTCGTCTTGAGACCGCAACCATCTCATGACACCAATCCTGGGGGCTTGGTCTCCATACTTAGTCTTTGTAGCCTCATCAAGTTGATAAGTTACACCCTGCCGGCTTGGTACCCCGTTAGGGTGCTACCAAGTCGGCCTTGGGACTTTGTCTCCATATGGCCCCATAAGGGCCATACATGGTTGTTTGATACCTAGTCGGGTGGCCACCTCAGCTAGCCACCATGCCTTAGTCGAATTTCTTGTCTTGTTGGCTTGATACCCTCATGTATGGCTATAAAGTCCGTCTTGGCCCCCTGTTGCCTGGCCACCAAGTCAGTCTTACCGCCTTGAAACCCCCTTGGGGTCATGGTACCCTGTCGCTTTGCTTGGCTGCCAAGCCTGTCTTGCCGACCCCGTTGGCTTCATACTTAGCCAAATTCATGCTTTTCATGTCTTGGTACCAAGCCATGCCTTGCCGGCTTGGTACCCTCTTGCTATGGCCATGTGATTCCATACTTAACCAATTTTCATGTATTTTAGTATCAAGCATGCCTTTTCGGCTTGATACCCCTTTGGCTCTATACTTAGCCAAATTCAATGTTTTGGTACCAAGCCCACCTTGTCGGCATGGTACCCTCTTGCCCCATACTTAGCCGATTTTGTCTCAGCACGGCCTCCTATTTGGTACCCGACTTGGTACCCGGATGTTTGGCACCCCTCGGACGGTGTCATGCTTGGCACCCTTGTGGTTGGATCTCCATACTTAGCCAAATTTTGGCTCTCTTTGCCACCACAACTAGCTTGCGTCTCGTCATACTCGGCTCACCTTGGATGGTATCATGCTTGACACCCTTGGCGGTGCCATGTTTGACCCCCTTGTGCTTGACCCCCTTGGACGGTGTCATGCATGACCCCCCTTGTGTTGTGGGTCTCAACACTTAGCCAAATTTTGGCTTTCTTCCCCATCACGGTCTAGTGACTTGCGTTGCCCTTCTCCCCTTGCCACACGCTTTGATACCTAGTAGGCGAGCTTGACCCCCCTTGTGTTGTGGGTCTCAACACTTAGCCAATTTTAGCCTTCTTTCCCATCATGTCTAGCACGATGACCCCTTTGGCATGACATCATACTTGACCCCCCTGGGATGATGTCATGCTTCACCCCCTTGGACGAGATCATGCATGACCCCCTTGGACGGTGTCATGCATGACCCCCCTTGTGCTGTGGGTCTCAACACTTAGCCAAATTTTGGCCTTTCTTGCACCACATGGCGAAAGGGTACTCGCGATGACCTCCTTGTGCTGTGGATCTCAACACTTAGCCAAATTTTGGCTCTCTTTGCCACCACATCTAGGGGTACTAGCGATGACCCCCTTAGACGATATCATGCACGACCCCCTTGGACGAGGGCATGCATGACCCCCTCAAGGGGTGGAGGCATCGTCCGGCTATGGGGTCACGGAGACGGGTCGGCCATCGTATAGAGGAGAAGGGGTTTGGCCACTTAGGCCCAAAAACCCAACCCAACAAGGCCCAGCTATCTCTTTTAATCATTAATGTTGAGCTGGCCTTATAAGTCACTACCACTCCTTGAAAATCATCAATGTGGTATTGAGTGATTTTTTTAGTGGTAAACAGGTAGCTATAGTAAGAACATTAATATAAAGATTTGATCGACCTTCAACTTCCTTAGATGCCTTGTGCCCTTGTCAATTTTCCTACAACTAGAATTAAACATTTAACATATCTTGTAGTAGAATGGTACTACCAAAATAAATTCTTGTAGTAGAATGGGAAGCAAGGTTGTAAGGCGAAGCGAATCCGGAAAGATTGTCTCATAAGTTTGAATTGTTCTCTGCAATTTGAGGAAATGATGTTAGAATCGCTAGTAATTGCGGATCAACCTATCGCGGTGAATATGTAATAGTTTCCTTTTTCCTTCTCTCTCTAAACTGAAAACCTCTTACCTCTCTCTAGCTTTTCTTCCTCTATGATATTTTAAGTGGTTGTCGTCGGCTCCTTCTGGTGACCGGCAGCGACCCATCCTCTTTAATTTTTTCTGTCTTTACTTCTGCTTTCAAGTACTTTGTTTTCCTCTCCATCCCTTAAGTGGGACTTCCTTTTCCGCGCCACTCTTGTAGATGGCTGCCTCTGCTTCTTCCTCAAGTCAGATCTTCAGATCTGTTCTTTTGAGATGATTTTGCTGGTAACAGAGGAGGTTGAAGTCCCTTAACCTGCCTTCTCGTTCATGTTTCTGCGCCTCCTCCTTCCTTCACCTCTTTGGTAGGTGTTTCGGAGAAGATCTGGGATCCTATTGTGATCGTTCCGTGGTTCCAGTCTCGTGAAGCTCGAAGGCTAGGATTACTTTATTTGGGCTCCTAGTCACCTTTCTTCCTGATGTTCGTGCTTTCATTGTGAAGGAGGTGTATCATACACCGGGTGGCTTAGGGTTTCAATGGTATATATATGCATTTCTTGGTCGAATATCTTGCGGCTCTTCCCATCGGCGGTGGATGTGGAACTCTCCTAGGGCGGCGACTGCTTTCCATCTGATGGAAATGGATTAGGTTTAGGGTTTTACATTTCATGCTCATGTATTTGGGCTTCATTTTGCTATCTATTGTGTTTTGTTGGCCTGAGCCCAAATATTGATGTTCCTTCTTTGGGGTATAGGCCCAAAATTCGTTTACCTTGGTTTCATTTAATGAAAGCCCATATTTAAAAAAAAGGTACTCGGATCCTGTATACACCGTCCGATTCGGTGATAATGTCGCTATGGAAGTTTCTTATATCCACTCGTTCCTCTCCAATCAAATCTCCCAGTCAAGGTTGTCAAACCGATTTGTACTGGTGTGCCGGTTTTGCAAGTGGAATGGTCCGACCGTGGTACAACCGGTATATGCCAGTTTATGCTGGTTTTAGCAAAATAAATAAAGTGAAAACCCAAACCATTAAGTAACGGTAATTATGAATTTATGAGGGATTGGCAAACAAAAAGGTCATTACGCGGCCCAGTTGCGTAGAAATTAAGAAAATAAAAAAATAAAAAAAGTAAAAGCGACAAAATTAATAATGGAATTAATCTCATTTGGTTTAGTTTGTTTTACCTTTCTTTAAATTGTTATTGAATTAATGTTTTACCTTTCTTGCAAAATTAATGAATTCAAACTCTAAACATATAAAAAAAGGTAGAGAGGATTGTGGGTCCTACAACTAAAGATGGTCAGAGGAGTGTGGTTGTATGGGAGTTTAGGAAGTAGGGAAAAGTCTTCACGGAAACGACGCCACTTCCCATTCCGGAATTATGATTACCGGTTGAACCACCCGGAATATCCGGTTTTGACCGGCATTGACTTGCCTATTCTATTGGTGGCATTCCAGCCGGTTTCATGATCGGCACCGGTTGAACCTCGTTCAACCGGGCGACAAACCACCGGCATGACAATCATGCTCCCAGCAAATGACAGAAGGTTAGCAAATTTTGAAGGACTTGAAACACATCAATATATAGGGTAATTGATCAAAATGGTCCCATAGGTTTGAGTCAATAACAAAATGGTCACAAACATTTAAAAGCAACAAAAATCTCATACAAGTATCACGATATAACAAAACAACTATTCAATGTATTTTCATTCATATTACCATTCAAAAATGACAAGTTAGCTTGCTATGAAAAAGAGGTAGTTTTAGAGTTGGTTTGGTGTTTTATATTCTTTTCATTAATTTTGCATTGTGTCAAAAAGCTAATTGATAATTTTGGATATAAATATGACTAAAATGAGACAAGCAGAGTTTACCAAATTGAAGAGAAACGTCTTGCGGTTAGCTAGCAAGTAGCAACACAAGAACGTACCCAACAATGAACTTAGAGCTGACATCTTTGACATTGTTGTTGTTTGGCACACCATGTTGCCAATTTTAATTTACAGTGAAGCCAACTTTGGCAACCGACCAAACTCGTCATGTCCAATTCGCTTCTACCCATAGGGGGTAGCTTATAATGACTCTACACAAAGATTACGTAACATATATCTACTCTTTCAAATTGGGTTTTGCACAAGTAGAAAACTGAACTTTTGACCTCTATTATCAATATTCTTGGACAACGTACCATTACACTTCACTATTCGACATTTATAATAATTATGTATTATTTTTTACTTAATATTATATATTCTTGCTCCTGGACGAAGCGACAGCAAGCAGGTCTTAGCTAGTCTATAGAACTTTCAGACATTAGAGCATTGATTATGTTCTAAACAAAATAACCTTCAGATTACATTAATTAATTAATTAATCGGCACCAACCACCTTCGAATTATAAATAACTTTGAGAACAAAACTCCACAATCAATCATCAATATTTCATTTGCAATTAAATTGGCACAAAGCCCTCCTACGCACCCCTCATCACACAACCAATAGAACAGTGTCCCAAAAATCAAAGTAATACCGACAACACTTCCCATAAAAAATGGAGAAACGACTGTAACAACAAAAACAAACAAACCAACATAGCTAGTTTTTCTTCTTCTTTCTCTTAGCCCTTAGGTGCAAAAATGGAGCATTTCTATTTCAGAAATCATAAACCATTTGATTTCAATAACTCGAGGTGTTGGGAGAAGGTTATACTGGATCTTATACAGGTCCATGTATGGTACTTAACCACTTCCTTACACGCTCCCTCAAACAAAAGCCGACTCATAGGCTTGAAATTTGCACAGGCCTGTGATACCATGTGCTTGAAAGACAAAGGTTAATATTGGGGGTCGTGAGGACTTGAACACGTGACCTCAAGAACAAACTAGGCTTTGATATAATGTCATAAACCAGTTGGTCCCAATAACTCGAGTTGTTGGGAGAAGGTTATACTGGATCTTATACAGGCCCATGTATGGTACTTAACCACTTCCTTACATCAACCTTCCCTTTCTATTCGCATCATTCGTCACCCTGTCATTGTATTTGTTCCTCGTCTTCCACAACCACCAAGCTCAATACAACTTTCCCAACCTCCCGCCGGGCCAGCCCGGGCTGCCTTACGTCGGCGAGACGCTCGACTTCATCTCCTCCGGATGGAAAGGTTGCCCGGAGAAGTTCGTGAATGACCGCGTCACCAAGTTCTCCTCCGATGTCTTTAAGACCAACACTGTCGGGAATCCCCCCGTGGTCCTGGCCAGAGCTGCCGGGAACAAGTTCCTATTCTCCAACGAGAACAAGCTGGTGGTGGCCTGGTGGCCGGACTCCGTCAAAAAGATCTTCCCTTCACGCAGAACAACTCCTCGCTCCATGAGTCCCGCCGGATGCGGAAGCTCCTCCCCCACTTCCTCAAGGCCAAAGCCCTTCATAGGTACGTAAGTCAACATTCCCGTATACCACTTGATTAGAAACATAAATAGATGGAGCTTATAGGTAGAAATCCCAGCATGCAAAACTCAGTTAGTTGTATTATGATATGATCGAGGTTTTGTGAAATGAAGCCTCTGCCCAAAAGACGCCGCTGATTAAAACGACAATGCTGCTGCTGGAGTTTCACTTGACGACCATACGACGCTGCTGTCGATTAAACAACGTTGCTACTCACTAAAGCCTTCCTAACCTGGCTTCGTTTCTTTCAGCCTTATCCTTCGTCTTCAACCTCAGCACCCAAAAGCAAAAGAAGATCCACTTTCTCCAAGCACAAAGATCGCCTACAACCTTGTGCTTCTCAAAAGTGTGGCTACTTCAACGGATCTCCTTCAACGGTCATGAAGACTTCTGCCTATTTAAAGCTATCTCCACCAGAAGAAGAGATTCAACGGTTGCAGCTTGAATAGCATATCTATTAGGTTGTCAAGGGTTCGGGTTTTCGAACTTTCTTCAGTCTCCTCATCTATAGAGAATGATTCTAGGTAGATAGGAGTGGGAAGATTGTTCGGTTCTCACTTTCATCGATCATCTATGTGTTTTCTTTCCTTCTTTTGATTGTATTTTAGTTTTTCTTTCCCTTCAAAGAGCAGTCATAATGATTGCAGAATATCTATCAATTTCTTAATCAAATCAGTATCTTTCAGTTCCTTCTGTGTCTTTCTCTAAACCAAAAACTTAAACAACCTCTCCACCCAGCCTAGAATCTCAGGTTTTACATGGTTTTGTACGTTTAAGTTTTGTATCGGAAACCTAAACCATAATAAAATGAGAGGAATTTTACTATGTTTTAAGGGTGAGACATTGTCAAACCCAATTTGATTCTAGAACTATGTACTCTAAATACCCGATTTTATAGGATCAAGCTATAAATCTGGCTAGTCCTATTTCCCTTTGACCATGTTTGTTTGTGTTGGGTCGGATAAAGTTAGCGGGTCGACTCAAATCAACAAAATTGATATCTGCAAAATTATATTTTGGTATCCAAATTTATGTTTTTCTTACAATTAGTACCTAGACTTTATTTTTTACAAATAGGTACACAAAATTCGGTTGCTAAATAAATGTTTTAGTACCTTTATATTTTTAATTGCATTATGGTACCTAAACTTTTAAAAATTTAAAGTAAGGTACAATGTTTTGGTATGTGTAATTTGAAATCACTAGTAGGATCAAAAGTGACCCAACCCTAAATTTGCCCGACCCTACCCAACCATTACAAGGCCAAATGATTACCTAACTCTAAACCGACCTAGTAGACAAACTGACCTAACCCGACTCCCAGAATCGGATCGGGCCAATGAGTATCTAGAGTCAGACTTACACCCTTACAATATTTTATATCTTTGGTAATTTAAAATCATATTATGATACAAACTGAACATGTACGTTAGGTTTGTAATGGACCAGATACATTTGGATAGTGGACTCAATCGCCGAAGGCCACTTCACCTCCGGGTGGGAGAAGAAGCAACAAGTCCTGGTCCCACTAGCCAAAAACTACACCTTCTGGCTGGCATGCCTCCTGTTCGTGAATGTAGAGGATCCCAACTACATCGCTAGGTTTGCCGCCCCGTTCAACCTGGTGGCCTCCGAGATCCTCTCTGTGTAGTTGGATCTGCCCGGGACCACGTTCAGGAAGGTCGTCAGGGCCTCCAACTTCATCAGGGCCGAGCTGCTGAACATCATCCGGTAGCGGAAGATCCTCGGCCTCCTCATCGGCGGCCACGACACAACGAGTGTGGCTTGTACATTCATCGTCAAGTTTCTATCCGAGCTGCCCCACGTTTATGATGGAGTTTACAAAGGTATGCTACATGTATTACTTAATTAAGTGAGTGGTAGTATTTACTTTTTTCAGTGTGGCATAACTTGTCATTCAAATCGGATCAACGACCATAGCAGTAGATCCACTAAATCAGTTACAATAGCAGTTCAATTTATTTGATTGGATAGTTATGATAGACCCAACAGTGTTTTTAAGAGTTTAACAGGAAACCAGATCAACAAATTAACAAGAGTTTGGTTTAGTTTTGAACCTGGAGGTCACATGTTCAAATCTCTTAAGTAATACTCAGACAACAAAATGTAAACCTATGTCGCCCAAATAAAAAAAACATGGTTTGAAAAACATGAAACCAAATGAACTACCCAGGTTTGACTGGTCCCCTAATTCACCATTTTGACCACAAAATTTAAAGATATTTTAACTTAAAGTAAGTTCATTCAACTTCAATCACTAATTTTATTTATGTTTCCTTTTTCGCATGCGCAGCCTCCTTGTCAGGTTTATATGGCCTACTATGGATTGTCACCTTGATTACATCCTTGAATTCAATAATAATAAATTTGATTGATTTTGTGAGATAGTTTGAATACTTTATTTCAACTTTTGGGTGACAGATAATATTGATTTGAAATTGTTTATGATTGGTGATAATTTTACTCCTACATTGTATTATATACCTTTTATGTTATAACAGATGAACGGCTCAATCAACGGTTAACTAACAGTTCTATAATGGTTGACTGTTGAAACATCAACCACTAACTGTTTTTTATATTAGGAGAAATCCGTCTTGCGATGGCAAACCCCGGCTCCCATAGATAACCGGCAAACACTAAGAGCATTTTATACGAGCTTACAGCCCTGTCAGTGGCCACCAAGGAGTAACGCAGAAGTGGCGGCTGCCAAGGATCGAACCCATGACCTTTTGGACACAATCCTGCGCCTTTACACCACCTCCACCACCCCTTAGTGGTTAACCATTAACTTTTCTTGTTCAACTTCTGTGCGATTTTGAAAACATTAATAAAAATTTTCAGTCTTAAAACAAGGGGTTCCATTGTATTCTAATTTCTCTACCGTTGTTACATTAAATTCATAAAAAAAAAACAGAGCAAATGGAGATAGCAAAACAAAAAGGGGCAAGAGAGTTGTTGAACTGGGAGGACATCCAGAAGATGAAATAATCATGGAACGTAGCTTGTGAAGTTATGCGGCTCGCCCCTCCGCTTCAAGGTGGCTTCAGGAAAGCCATGACCGACTTCATCTTCAATGGCTTCTTCATCCCAAAAAGCTGGAAGGTACGTTACTTATGTGTAGGTACGTATATAAATATGATAATTCAGTTTCCCGTTTTATGTACCTCATATTATATCGATCGAATTTACGTACGTAGCTGTATTGGAGTACAAATTCAACTAGGGATGGCAATGGGTCAGGTTGGGGCGGGTTTTGTCAAACCCAAACCCATGGGTTTATCCGTCAAAAAAACCGGAGGTAAAACCCGTTGGGTTTGAAAAACTCAAACCCAACCCAACCCGCTGGGTATCCGCGGGTTCATGGGTACCCGTGGGTTTTTGTGGTAAAAAAATTTACAATAACAAGTTTTTTTCAAAATAAAAGTTTAACATCAATTTTCTCATACAAATTAATCATACAAAAAATACCAATCTAGAGCATACAAGCAAACCGCAAATGATCAATACAAATTGTTCAAAATTAAAGATAAACATCTATAAACAATAAGATTAATTGAAAGCTTCTTCCTCGTCAACTAAGTTTCTTCACTCTCCACTTCATAATATTAACTTCATTTTAAACAATTAGAAACAACAAATTATACATGTCTCCACAAATATAAAGAATATTAGTTGTTTAAAGAAGATATATTATTTAGAATATTAAATATACCGGGAAAGTAATTATATGTGTGTGGGCGGGTACCCATGGGGCGGGTTTATCTAAACCCAAACCCAACCCGACCCGGTGAATAGTATAGCGGGTTTAAACCCGAACCCGGCTCAAAACCCATCAACACGAGTTTTACCCGCGTTGACCGGATTGGGTCGGGTGGGTACCCATGAGTTCGGGTTTTGTTGTCATCCCTCAATTCAACCCACAAAAGCGGGCAGTACTTCTCCGAGCCAGAGAGGTTCGACCCAAGCAGGTACGAAGGCGGCGGCCCGCCTCCCTACACGTTCGTTCCGTTCGGTGGCGGCCCTAGGATATGCCTTGTGAAGGAATACGCTCAGCTGGAGATCCTGGTGTTCATGCACCATTTGGTGGAGCGGTTCAGGTTCCAGAAGCTGATTCCTGACGAGAAGATTGTGGTGGATCCGATGCTCATCCCGGCTAAAGGCCTCCTTGTGCGTCTCTTTCCTCACAAGGGGTAGAGTAGAACCCAAGAAAGCAAAAGATCATGATTCAATATGATGAGAAGGTGCCTAGCTAGGCTAGGGTTTGATTACAATGTTCTGTAATTGGTTATGGCGTGTGTGTACGTACGTAGGTACCAAGTTACGTAGTAAGTTTCTGTGTACGTACGTATGGCATGATCATATTTGATGTTATATTCATTTTGCAACGATGTGGTTGAGTTCGAACTAGACTGAACTCATTATTAACGCGGTCCATTAGTGTCAACAAATCATAGAATCCAACCCTTGACCATAAGTGCATTCAATCTGGTAAGATTTGATGAAGTTCGATTGCAATGCCACATCAGAAAATTTTTCTTTTGAACTTTCATGATTGGTAGGATGAATGTCCATGACATATTAGATTCGATTATGTATGGTCTGGTTCAAAGTTGCCTTGCGTCCGATGTAATTTGGGGTTGACCAAACAGTTGCACCCACGTATGTAACATCCCAATGAATCAATGATACTTAAAAATCGCATTTATGGTCAGTTAAATGTCCCATCAATGATACTTTTTATATTTTACAATTTGATATCTAAATTTTTTTATGATGCCATTTAAGTAATTAAACGTTTCAAAATTTACATATTGGTCCAATGCTTAGAGGTCATTTGGATTCATGAAGCAACCTACCAATCCATATGATCCAATCTATGAATCTACCAATTCATTTGATCTAATCCATATAATCAATGGATCCTCCAATCTAATCCATCAATTCATATGGGATCCAATCCATTTGCCACCTCTACTTAAGAGAAAGCCAGAACTATAATACAGGCATAATGAATTGATTACTATAATACAGGCATAATGAATTAATTAGTAATCGAATATGTATAAGATCCAGACCTTCTATAAAAATAAAGATCTGGACTTGGAACAAAGGCCTACATGGAATCGATAACAAAGACAACCCTTAAGAGCATCCACATCAATCCAACTCACTTTTATTTTATTGCACCTACATCAATGCAATTCACTTGCAATTGTATATCAGAGTTTAAATAATTTTATAGTAAAAAATCAAGAGAGAAAAAATGAATTATTGATTTTTTTATTTTCCTATGTGGCTTGCATATTCGATTTCATTTAATGCAAGTTTGCATTTTTGCAAGTGCCCACTACATTAGTGCAATTCCCTTTGCAATTGCATTTTGAGTGCCATGTAGAATTTGCAATTATATGGATGTTCTAACTAAATCTAAGCACATACGTGTATATATAGTATTTCATGCAATAAATAAAATGAATCGCTATTTGCCGCCCGTAGTTTTACTATTTGCCGCCCATAGTTACAAAAAATATGACGAATTTGCCCCTCCTTCTAGCTAAGCCTAAATCCTATCAAACCCATCCCCTCACAACCTCCTCCCTACTCCCACAACAGTCGTCGCCGACCACTTCATTCCTCCAACCCCTTCACCGCTGCTCCCACCGCCGGCCCATCCATTTCTCTTACCTGGTCCACCGACCCCTCCATTCGTTCGACCTCACTCGCTTCCCTCACAAAATCGCGGGCGTTGAAGATGAAGGAGCTCGCCGCGGATGCTGTCGTCGCCGACATAGAGGAAGGGGTCCAACCGCTGGATGCGGACGGGGTCCGCTCGCCCTGCGCGGACGGGGTCCGAATTCTGGCGGCAGACGGGGTTCGACAACAGGCGGCGGACGGGGTCCGAAATCCGGCGGCGGACCAGTTCCGAGACCCGGCGGTTACTGTTTGTTTTTTCAAAAATCGTTTTTGAATTATTATTTATTTATTTAGTAATTAAATAAGTGTAAAACACCATAATTAGAATTTAAATAATTATAAACATGATAATTAAGCAAATTAAAGAGAATTTTTTAAGGCAAGTTTTCGAAAGAGTAAATTGAGTAATAAGTTTTCAGAAGGAAATTTCTGTAATTAACAACCTTTAATTGTATTTTCCTATTTAACAACCCAACCAACGTAATTTCCTCCCAATACATCTAATGATAGTTATCAAACACATATGGAATATAATTTATTAATATATTATTTTGACCACAGTTGGTCGAGGGAATTAGGGTTTGACCCAAATTAGGGTTTGACCCGAATTTGGTTTTGACTTAATTAGGATTTGACCACAGTTGAAATAATCTCACCCAAGATGACGGATAACAACAATAAGAATTAACTCGACTCAACTGGACCAATAATAACAATAAAGAAGGAAAGCATCTCATCCACCTCCTATACCTTATACTCCTCCGAAACCCTAAACCCTCATTCCCCTTGAATAGCTACCTTCAACCTCGATCCATCCAATCCTACTATGAAATTATTTTAGAGATAAAATCATCTATGCCTCCACTAACAATAATATTTCGCCTCGTGGAAACATACGTGATAGGCTCAAGAAACTCCTAGTTACCACCCCCAGAGCCCTAAAAACACCTCGATGAAAGTTTTGGCACTATTCATATCTTTTTGTCGGAAATGTCCAATTGATAAACAATCAATTCCAACACATATGTATCCACAATTTAAGAGATCGATGAAAGTTTCAATAATTTTTCATGTCGGTGACTCTAGTAATTGCTAAAAGATGTTTTTGCCCGACCTTCCCCGAGTCGCAAAGAGTCCTCTTCGTGCCTCGATTCCTTGGAAGTTTTATAAAACATAGTTTAGGGGACGATGATCTAATTAAATATGAAATAAATACAATTAAAAAGGTTTAATCAAAATTTATAAATATTTTATAACTATTCTATATAATTAAAATGAATTATTCATAAGTTTATACACTACTTCAGATAATTTGTAATTAATTAACATACTATAATTATTTAATTGCTATTATACTTTATTTATTTGTTTATTTTATCTCTATTTACATAATTAAAAAATAAGTATGAATTAATTTGCACGGTCCGCCCGCCGGGACGGATCTGGCAACGACGGTGGTGGTGCGGCGACGGCAGCGGTGATCTGCGCCGACAACGGTGGTGGTCTGCTAGTGGTGATTGAGTATTTGTGTTATAAAAAATAGACAAAGGGTAAAAATGACATTTTCACTAAAATTATGGGCGGCAAATAATAAATGTACGGGCGGCAAATAACACGTCTCTAAATAAATGGAGTCTACCTCCTAAATAAATCCAGCATCGAGAACTACTATCTCTAGTCATAAAGGAAGGAACGAATAGGTAAATTAGTTTGAGAAACTACCTATGACTACTGTTTCTAAGCCAAAGCAGGGACTAATTTGAGGAGAACGTCCATCTCACAGTAATTGGCCTCGTGGTTCCATTGCCCTATTTTTATCATAACTTCATATAGGTTCCTTTGAAGAGAGTTGACAATGGAGATGAAGTCAGTCTCTAATAAAGCATTAGTACTCAGAACAGCACAAGCAATCCTCCTTATGAGGGCGAGGTGAATATGACCTCAACTTCACTTGTCACATCTTGAACTGTACGGTAAATCTTAGTTAACCCGCTAGTCGGGCACTATGAAGTGAGCAGCTCCATTACACATTCAGAGAAGCGGTTAACATTCTCGTAAGGTAAAATATAATTAAATCATCGTCAAACGGTCTGAAAATATAATCTGAAAAATGTAGGGAAGATGCCCAATATAATTTTACTATTCCAACACTACCATATTGTGGAAATCCAGTTGCATGAAATTAAGGTCTATGGCATCATATAAATGAGCAATTGCATGCGGCAGCCAACATATAAAAGATCCTCCATGAAGTAGTTGAAGTTAACTTCACTATGTAATGAAAGCATGCATAAGTAGTAACTCCATAAAAAATTGATATAACAAAATGGTGAAGAAATACCAAAGTACCGTGTATAGGAAGCAACTACCTAGGCAAGATTTAACTTAACTTGTTATTCAAAAACCAGCAAGCGTGAAATGTTGTTGCACTTTTGTAGGGGGTAAAGTAGACTCATTTATCTCTGACCCAATCTTTTTGGAGGAACCAGACCACCCATTCAACTTTTAAGACTTGAATGCATGATATCAGAAGCAATAAACTGTTCCATAACTGTACAAAAACACATGAATATCCATATCACTGAGAAGTTGTGTACCTTCATGATGCTGCAAATATAATGATGTGAAGGCCACTACTTAGTAGAACACAGCTGCATCGGGTACCAAATCCAAGAAGACATTTAACCATGATCCCCTGCCTGTGATAAGGAAGTTGAAAGCGTATTATCAAGGCAGAGCAAAGCACATACCAATATGCATAGAAAACATTCACGCATGCTCAACCAACGGCAGCCTAATACACTTGTTCCTTAATGGTAGTCACGGAAACAAAACTTGCTGGGGCTAGGAAGTGACAACGCTACCCACCAAATCTAAAAAATATATCGAAGTGATTAGTACGCTGGGGATATTGGTCAGTTAGTAAGAGAACCTTATTTCCAAAATTACAAAGTAGCAAAACCGCATTGTACCGATTGTTCACCGATCCCCGACTCAGTCTCAAGTTTCATCTTTCAAATTCTATTTAAGAATGACTCTTGGAGAGGGAATGGTCTTTTGCTTAAATGCTTGGATTGACCCGCTATAATGAACACCATCTAGATCTTCACATTACCAATGTTGCAGGACTTAACTGGGAGCAAATCAATGTGATACTTGGTTAAAACCATGAAAAAACCAACCGTTTTCTACAACTTCTAGCCACCATGCACAATGAGAAGCCCAAAATAGCAAAATAAGTGGTTCAAAGGATGAACATCAACTCCATTTAGGAATGACCCTTTATAAGAATCAGCTTATACAACTCTAACACTACAAATATATTTATAAAAGTGACCTATGTGTCACTTGTTGGCTTGTGCTCATATCCTACATCAAAATGACATGTAGCCGAATCAATTGAGTTTGTCATCTAAGTGTCCCTAGCTAACTAACAATACTGCCATTACAAATTTTAAAGATAAAATGGTCATCAACCTTAAGAAGTTCCATTGGAAGGC